TATCAAATATATTTTTTTTTTTTTTTACAACCGTTAGGTTGGTTAATAACATTGGTATATCCTGGGGAAATTTAAGTGCAGTGGTTCCCCGTTGTGTTTTGCACTGGGAACATGGTGCTTTTTCGCCACCGTAGAAGCGCACGCATGGTCACCCATCCGTTCACCTACGGCGGTAAGCGCGGCTTAACACTAGAGTTTTGTTAACAACCAGTATAACCACAGCGCCCGATCACACCAAATATTTATAAATATCACATATAAGGTAAAAAAATAGCTTATTGTTTTTAATGTGTCTACATTTTTTTGTTGAATTAACTGTGATATAAATCAAAACAATTTAGTCTACTTTAATGCTGTGTAAGGGGGACTTAACCCACCCCATTATTAAATCTAACAAATTTTAACATCATGGTATTACACTCAATTGTTTAAAATAAATAATATTTTAGCAGTAAAAAAAAGTTAGAAGAGATAGACCAGAGTATAATGGGATATCCCTCAAATAGTATCAAATCTATTTCCCAAAATAACACCCCCTACAAAATTGAGATCTTAAAATGTAGGGAATGGAATATAAACCACATGACTAGAAAAGTAGGGTTTGTAATTTATACAGACAGCTCCAAGAAATCAAGAAAGGTAGGTACTGGTATTTGAGGATATAAACCATGCTTAAATATCAGCATGTCAATGGGCACAACACCCTATATGTTCCAAGCAAAGGTAATGGCAATACTAGTTAAGGCCCAAAACCTGCTAGTACTCATAAAAGAAAACATAACTATCCCAAAAGATAGTTAAGCCGCTCTAAAGGCACTTAGTAATAACCATGTGACTTCAAGGCTAGTCCTTGAATGAAAGGAAATTCAGAATCACTAGCAAGGTTCAATATAGTTACACTAGCATAATGCTATGACACAGCAGTGTGACTGGTAATGAAAAGAAAACTTTCCAGCAAGGAAATGTGTAGAAAACACCTACATTGAACCAGAACAAGTGGTGGGACTTACGGAGCAAACTCTCAAAGTACTACCCAAAAACTGGTAGAGAACAACACAGGAAAATATGGTGTTACCTAGCGATACCTACACAATCAAAACTGTTTATCAAGACTGCTTGTCTACTAATGAAAGAACTTATTGACATGAATAGATTTAAAAAAAAACACTTTGACTGGACTACACTGACAGGACACAGTCATCTGCTTAAACAATACACAATGGGAGTGACAGAATAACCATTGTGCAGGAAGTATGTAACAGAAAAGGAATAATCATTTCACATTATGAGTGAATGTGATACTCTGGCCAAATTAAGATCTAAACATAAGGGAAAATCTTATCCTGAAAAGTAGATATTAAGAACCTAAAATCCAAAGAGATACTTAATTTTGCTAGAACAGGACTGTTTGAATATATATAGGTGCGACCTAGTCTAAAAATACTTCGGTATTAACACATGTGAAAAAATTGAATAATTTATATTTCAGTAGGATGTACGCACAATGAACCTGTAAGACTGAGTACATAGGCAAGTCTTACCCACCTATATAACTAAAACTAAAACTACACACCATTAAAATGTTGATTATCTTATACATATGGCATGAACATGGCAAATAGTCAAGTGACTATTAAATTTACAAAATTAAAATATTATTTTTAATTATAACATTAATGATAAATTTTAGAAAAAAAGTATTAGAACATTTTATAAATGTGAAAAATTAAAAAAATACCCTATTTAGTCAAACTTCAACCTCAATGATACATGTTGTTTGATCAAGACTAAATTTTCATAGTACAAGTTTTCTATATCAAGTAAAAAAATAGNCTAAATTTTCATAGTACAAGTTTTCTATATCAAGTAAAAAAAACCCAGCAAAGGGGGGTCGCGGCACAGTGGTGACATGGGATAGTTGGATCAAGTATAATGATATCTGACAGTGATTAAAATCACTATAAAAAAAAAACGCTTCGATGCAAATCTTTAGATAGTGTTTAATTTTAAAAAATTGGTGGATTATTCCAAAAGCT